CACTTAAATTGTGTTTATTTCAAAGATTACTAGGTTGTTTCTTAGCAATTTAGAGTTGGAAATACAACGTCATTCACTTATTTGATTTAAAAAATCATAAAAATATTCACGTATAAGTATTATCGATGAACATGAAAATGAGATCTTTATTTTTAAGATGAGGGGCGAATATACTCTTTCCCATGACATGAGAATGGCTATTATTTTGAAAACATTAACTTCAACTCTCACTTCTTCTATTTTATTATTTGAATTTAAATTGAAAAAGCATTTGAAAATGTTAAATGGTACATGTTACAAATTTATTTGAAGTAACATTCCAGGACACAATATTCACGAGAATACTGATACATATTCCATAAAATATGCTGATATATATAAATGTAGCTGGAAAGTACAATATATTTTTTTGGGTGGATAAAAGTACAAGTGACTACTAATTAATTAAGCGACTGATTTTCATTTTCAAACCATTTACCCTTAATGTGGTTGCAAGTTTTTTAGAAATCATGATTTCTGAAAAATATGATTCTCAAGAATGAAAAAAAAAATGTACCAGATGCTCTTTGTATTATATTCAAATTTGACACGATCGATAAGTCAATTAATACAACATGCGTACAAGATGAAGCAAGAGGAATTGATCAAAACACAAAGTCAAATTGTTTACAAGAATCACGTCCTACAAACCTTAATTGGGATATCATAAACCAAACAAATCTCGTTGACATGTTCTAAATTAGAAGGTTTCTTTAAGACATCCAGAAAGAAAAGGTTATCAAAGTACCAACATCTTGTGTGACATTCTTTTCTCCGTAAAATATAAATATATATTGATAAAAAAAAATGTCTGACTTTTCTGCAACTTCAAACACAATCTTATTACGAGCATATATAAATTCACGTCTGGTTAAATATATATAATATATAGTTATATTTATTTTAATATTATTGATTATAATGTTTATATTAGATATATATTTACAACTTTTCTTAATATAGTTTCAAATGCACGCTACGTTACTTTTAAACCCAACCTTTTTTCGTTTGGGTTTGAACGTAAATCATGCCAACTACTGCATATTTACGAAGTCATTGTTGCATTTATGTGAACCTGCTATGCATGCATCACGAAGCTAGTACGTTATCAAGGAATCATTCGTTGGAAGGTTGGATGAAATATCCCCTCAAATATCCGAAGCATTTGAGAAGCAACTCAAAGCTAGAGAGGGGACTGCATATACTTTTTCTGAAAAAAATATACTATAAAAAGTAGATAAAATTTTTGGGTTAATAAGTAAAAGTTGTAAGCTCAAACGACCCATATTATTACAAAAGAAGTGATAAAAATTAGAATTAATCATTTAAATTGGAGTTAATTGATTTGATTCATGGACCTAACGACAATTCTCTTTTGCAAGTTGCAAGATCATCTTCTCGAATTATGTTTTAGTAGGTACAATTTATCTTTGATGGAATAGGGATCTATCTTGTAGCTAGGCAATGAGATTTGATAGGAAGCATGACCAGTTAAAAAAGAGATAAACCCCTAGAGAGGTGAAGTACGGGTTAGTACTAACTGGTCCACTATGCTTTTCACATGTGATGCAGAAATTTAGGCCTGAAATTGACGGGTGATGGAGTGAAATGAAATGCAATGGGTCGAGGGAAGGTGCATTCATTATCTTTGGGTACATGAAATCTCCAACAGAGACTCACTGGTACATCTGAGTAGCGTGGAAAGAGGTAGATACATTCAAATATATGAATCAACAAGAACAAGATGACATGGGCTTTCCTTTTTTATTTCTTTACACTATAAACTACAATTTTTTTTAAAAAATATTTAACATAAATATATTTTAAAACATAATAATGTAAATTAAATTAAAATAACTTCACATTAAATAATTAATTTAGATAAAAATGTTAAAAGCAAGGGTGTAATGAACTGATAACCCCTCGTGCGTTCTCTGCGGAAAAAGTTGGTGTTGCTGAATAAACAGACAAAAGGCTATTTTGTTTGGCTTCTATGGCTCTCTTCTCTATCATCAATTGGTCTCTTTAGACCATACCCAACCCTTCTCATTATACCCTATGTTTCCTCTCTCGCCTTCATTATCTCTTTCATGGGGACGCAAAATCAACCACTTCTTCCCTTTTTGGATATTGGAACACAGATTCTATTCAAAAGAAATTTAATAATTGGAAGTTTTAAATAAAACCTCTGAGGGTCGTGCCCAAATTCCTATATTCCATTTTCATGCAATCTCGTTTCTTCCTTTTTGAGCGTTGAGTTGAAAACGCTTCAATTCATATGCATACATGAGTTGGAATTCGTTATTTGTGTTCACAAGAACCAAAATTAATCGTCTTCTTCAAGTGGGAAGATCTGAGAGAAAGCTAATGTAATCTCAATTGAAAAACATTGTAAACAATCAAGTTTGAAGAAATATTTATCACGCTTTGATGCCTGTTTTGTTTGGTACGATTGTGCAGAACATGGGATTCGTACTAGTTATAATTTCCACACAGCTAATGATGAGGAAATCATCCTTATAATAGCAACCGTGAAGAGGTATAAATTTAAACATTCTTGAAACACTTTTAAGTAATATTTTTGTTTATTAATTATAAAAGGATATAAGATTGATTATATGGATAAAAATGAAAAGGGTATAATGATTTGAAATGAATGAATATCTTCCGTAGAGTACTTGAGTGGAGGTGACAGCGCAACCGTCGCTGTGCGTCCTTCTCGCTGCCAAAAGATAAGGCTTTCACTCACTCACTTCCTTCAAGTTCAGAAGAATACTATCAGTACCATGGAATGCATAATTTCACTGCCTTTTTTACTTTTCTACCTTCTCTTATGTTTTCTTTAGCTTTTAAATGTTAAAAGCCAGTTCAAAATGGTGAATTTATAACTAAAAATTTAGAATTGTACAAGTAATTTATAGATTTAAATTTATTTAATAAATTAGTTATTTTATTGAATGACTTAAAAAATATGTAATATTATAATTAGTTATTACTTATTTTATTTATTTATAATTAATTATATAAAAATAAAAATTTATATTTTTTAATATAAAATATATTTAAATAAAAAAATGAACGAAAAAATTATGAATATAAAGAGAAAAAAATTAAAATTAATATATATAAAATTTTAATTATATAATAGGTAAACTATTTTTTAAAGATAAAAATATAATATAAATATTGATAATTAATTTTAAAAAATTAAATAATACTTTAAATAGTTTTTGAAAACTTAACTTTTAAGAGTTATAAATTTTTTCATTATTAATCAAATAAATTTATAAATTTATTGACCAAGACAATAAATTACAAGCTCACTCAGTAAACTTACTTTTATTAAATATAATCATTTTTTTAACTTTCATTTTTAAATATTTAACCACTTTCAATACTCCTTTAATGTTGTTTATTTTTTATAATTATATTACATCAATTTTTTTTAAAAATGGCCTTATTTAAATTACATCTTGTGATGTCTTTCAACTAGTTTTCTAGCATGAACAAGGTGGAGGAGCATTCTCGTTTTTATTTTATCTTATGTAGAATATTATTTTATCGGCCTTCAAATGAAAGAGAGATTGAGAAAGGACGGATTCATCTTATATTATAGTATCAAATAATTACTTTTCCCTCGCGTTACATTCACCAATTTCATTATTTTAAGCACTAAATTCTGATATTACATGTAATGTTATATACGATTTTTTTATCTTTTATTTATATTATATATATATATATATATATATATATATATATATATATATATATATACACACACACATTTAAAATACACACAAAAACATTAATAAAAAAAACGCATTTAGGTATCCTCATTAAATTGTTCAATAAAAAATCCTCTACATTCAGTATACCCTTGGTTACAATAGACATCTAAAGTGTAAATACATTAAAAGATAAAGAAATAAAAGAGATGGAAGTAACATTACTTCCATGTATGACAGGTGATAACAAAATATAATTTTTTTAATATGTGCTCAGCATAAGATAAGAAATAATAATAATAAATTTTTTAATATGTTTACGCTGTCATTTAATTTTAAATTAATATATTAACAAGAATATTCATTTTTGTAATAATTAATATAAAAATAAGATTTATAATATGTTTTAATTGATTAATGGGATAAAGAGAAAACTATAAAATTTAAGTGAGTCTTATTTTTTACTCTTAAATTAATACTTTTTTATTTTTAAAATTTTAATAAAATTTAACCAACAATAAAAAGAGTATTAATTGGCAAAGTTTTTCTGATATAGTTTGAGAAGGCGTGTACTGTGATGTTACTGTGGATGTTGTCTAAGTGCATTTGATTCCCTCATTTTACACTCAACGCCTGTGTACTGAAGCGTATGTACATTTTTGCCATATTACTAACATTAACTAGCGATTCAAAATGCTGAAGATCCACTGGTACAACAGATCATATGTTTGTGGCCATAGATCTTCTTCATTGAGGGATCAAGATGATGATCATGATCATGAGCAAGATCTATCTTAAGATTAGATTTAAAACAAGTATACGGTGAATGATTAAGAGTTTAACTCGAGAGAAAATGTTGCTGATATGCAGCAACATAAATGATCCTAAAACTCATTGAATATAGTATAAGAACAAAAAAGTGTAATATTAAAATGTGTGCCGATGAGGTTTCGAATATATTGTTGATATAAGAGGAAGAGCCACAATTGTTATTTGCATTTAAGAGATAAGAAATAAAATAATAAAAAAAGAAAAAATGTTGGTACAAATAAATAGATGATGAAAAAGACAGAGAAACATAATCTCTTTTATCCATAATTTGTACCCAGTCAACACCAATTCGCTCAAAAAAGCAGCGGTGAAAAAATAATGCTATTTCACATTTTCCTTTTAATATAAAAATTACAAAACCAAAAGAAAAAAAAGAATATTACACCGTCAAGTCAACGTTGATCAAGTTTCCACAACGGAAATCAACGGTTGTTTCTGGCCGTCTGATCCCATCCCGGACTCATCAAGGGACGTCAGTAACTGGGCCCGGCAGGCTTGGAGCTCCCAATCAGTGGTCCCAATCGTGTACAACATCAGGCCCGCACAACAAACCTGGGCCGACAACAGGCCCAGCCATAGCCCACAGAAACCCACATCGAGCCAAAACGCAAGCCCAACAGCCACTGGCATCCCAACCAAATAAAACGCCCCGAGGTTCACGTTCGCCGCCACGTTCGGCCGCGCCGTCCCCCTAACCACGCCACAACCCACCGTCTGCGGGCAGTTTCCGAGCTCGCACAGCCCTAAAATCGGCAGCGCCGCCGCCGTCAGGCGCAGAATCTCCTCGTCTCCAGTGAACATACTCCCCCACCGCCGCCTCATTGCCGACGCAAAAACCACCGCGGAGAACCCCGTGACGGCGGCGAAAAACACCGCGACGACCGCCGACATCCTGGCCCGCGAAGGCCGATTCGCGCCGAGCTCGTTCCCCACGCGCGTGGACACGGCGAGCCCGAGCGACGAAGGGAAAACGTAGATCAACGACGTCGTTTGAATGAGAACCCCCATAGCTGCCACGCTGGCAGTGGGGTCCACAAGGAGCCCACAAAGCACGATCATGATCTCATACCACCACCACTCCAAGCAAACGGAAACACAGCTCGGCGCAGCCAGCCGAAGCAGCGGCTCCCAGCCGCTGAAACACTCTCGGCTCGGCGCCGTCCACGTGTCGCGGTGGACCCCACTTATCCAGACATAGAGTACCAACAAGACCAGAATGGAAAAACTGGAGGCGGCGGAAGCGGCGGCGACACCGGCCACGCCGCGTTTAACGAGAAACAAATTTAAAGGAAGATGAAGAAGGGTTCCGGCGAGAGACGCTAACGTGACCGGGTGGGTGACGGCCTGTGCGCGAAGGTAAACGCGGATTGGGTGGAGGAAGGAGTTGGTAACGAGGTCTGGTAGAAGGAAAACGAGGTAGGTTTGTGCTTTGCGGGTGATGACAGGGTCCTGGTTAAGGAAGATGAATATAGTTGACATGTTGAGCCATAGAAGCGAAATGGGGATTGAAGAAGCGATTAGGAATATGATGCACCGTTGAAGCGTTAGAGATAGAAGCTTTGGACGGTTTGCTCCGAAGGCTTGGGAACACAGTGGTTCCATTCCTAGCGATAGTCCTGAGAGAACAGAGTAACCTGTTATGTTTGCAAATGCTATTGCTAGGGACCCTGCTGCTAGTTCGGTGTCTCCTATGTGTCCCAGGAACAACATCGACATCATCGAACGTCCGTAGAAAATGAGTGCCGTTAGCGCTGTCGGAAACGCCAGTACCCACAGCGATTTTGTTTCGCTTATCATCTCCGACATTGTGGAGCGTGTCACCCACTCTCTTTGCTTTTCCGGATCAACTTGCTCATGCTCTGTTTTAGTTCTAACAGTCTTTGATTCGCACATGTTTATTCGGAAATGAACAAAGTTGTTATAAGATGCTGTGGCTTTCAGGGAGAAAGAGCACTGCTCATGAAATGGATTTTCTTGGTGCGAGTGAGGTGTGTGAGAAGGATGCCTCTCTATAAATAGACCATTTTTATTCAATCTCCCTATTTTCTCTTTTATTTTATTTTATTTTATTTAAATTTTTCCGACTTTTTTAAAAAATAAAATAAAAATCACTTCGTGCTCCCCGTTGCCTCAGCCATGGAATGGAAGGTTGACATCTAAACCCTTAAGTCAATTTTTTATATGCATTACTCTCTGTTTTTCGAAAGACAAGTTTAAACACCGTATGTCCAGGTTCAAGTACCCAACTCTATTTCTCTTTTATTACTTTTTTCAATGTTTTGCATATTTCTCGTTAAGTATATGTTTCATAAATGGATAACAATTATTTTCTCCTTTTTTGTTTTTTCTTTTAAATGTAAAAGTTTTTTGCTGCTGTTAATATAATAAAAAGTAAAAATATGCCACAATGTCAGTGTAGTACTGAAAGGAACAATTCCCAAAAACGGAAATGTTCTGTGCCTTGTGATATTTCCTCAGCTGCACTGCTCGCTGTTCAGCCATGTCAAGCCTCATGACTCATGACTCCTGACTCCGCTCATGAAGCATCCCTGCATAACCCTTTAGTTATTATTTCTATTTCTATAAGAAAAATCTTTAAAAAAGGAACAGTGGCATTGATACAATAGTCAAATAAGAGCATTGGACTTGAACGCACTAATTATATAATCACAAAGAAAGAATGTTTTGATTCCACTAATTAAGATTTTAATAATCCGTAAACCTAGAAACGCTTTACGTCTTGCTCTGTGGTTATAGTTAACTAAACGCAAAAAAAAGGAAAACATGTCACAAATAAGAATATAATCTTGCGGGTCAAACACTAAATAATGTTTTTGTCTCGTGTTTTCTTTTAAAATGGCTGTGTTATCTTGCACGCTTATTAATTTAGTTCAAGAAGTTAACACCTAAAAGACAATGTTTTTTCGGGGAGACAAACACCACGCTATAATAAAACACAGTATTCATATTCCTAAAATTTTGTCATCATCGTAATGCTTTTTATTGCTTCCTTGATCACACATCAAATTAGGTTTGACTTTGGCCACAAATTTGGAGTTGATAGAATAGAATGAGAGTGAGTAACGCAAGGAAGGTTGGAATTTAAATGCCTATTTTTTTCCTCGGATTTATTAATAAAATAGGTCACAATGGATTAAGCACTAATTAGTGGGTTGATATCTTATTAGTCGATTTGATTTTATAAATACTCTTTTTACTTTATTAATGTAGTACAAACAATAAACAAATAACGAGAAAGCCAAGCACGTGAGGCTCACACGTGGGTCTTGAGACAGTAGATTCTATTCCTCACTGCAGCTGCAGTAGTTGTTAGGTCCAGCCCAGGCTTGTCTTCTGAATTGGGCTTAGAGACAGTAAAATGGGTAATTTTTTTTTCCTATCACAAAGATAAAGGAGGAAATGCTACAATTACTCTCTCAACAATCAAAATTAACTAATTATCACACTATCTGATATTTTTATATTATATATTTAAAATATTTTTCAATTAATTTTATATATTTTTTAACACGTGTTTATGAAAATATTGTATCAAATCAAATTATCTATTTTAGATTATAACTTTAAATTATTTTTAAAAGTAATTATTGCATGCATTCTTCTCCCGTGTTATTAATTTGTTTTTTATTTTGTGACACGTGTCTTGAGATATTGTGCAAAATCTATTAGCAGGGGATATTTATTTGTTCAATTATTTTAAGCAATTTTTTTAAAACATTAAAATAATGGGATATTTACAAATTATCATTCCGACATTCTGTTGTGCTTGTGAATTGTGCTCAACTGTTGCCAATGTAGCTTTTTCCTTACACAATTTGCGTGATAATTAAAAAAATTCAACAAAATAAAAGAATATATCATATGTGTAAAAGAGTTTTTCTTTTCAATCTTTTTAAACTATTCTTTTAGAAGAACTTTTGTTTATTTGATTTCTTACTAAAATAACATACAAGTTGACAAACAGTCGATTACACGAATCTTAAACAAGTTATATAATATTGCTATCATTGACGACCAAATGTGATATATTTTGGTATAATTACATTTAGATTTGTTGTTGATTAAAAATACACGCTATAAAGGAAAATGGAAGTCATGATTATTTTAAGTAGATGTCTATTTTATTTATATTTTTGAAAATTAAAATTAAAAATTATTAATATTAACTACTAGAACATAAACGGGATAAAAAAATTAAATACAAAATAATATTTTTCGTTACAATGTAAGTACAGGGATGAGGTTACCTTATACTTGAGAGGGCCCTCCTCCATTCTCTCATCTTTATTTTTTTATAAGTAATTTTTAAAAAAATCAACACTTTTATGTTTTAACTATTTATTTTATCACTTTTTATTTAATCATCACAATTAAATTTAATCATTTATTTGATGATACTCTTTATATATGTTTTACCACCATTGAATCATTAATTATAGTTCCATCATGCAATTTGCAAACATGATACATTCGTGTTCAAATATATATTCAAATGGTGACACATCTACTTTACACCTTCCAATTATTTTAAAGAATTAGTATAGAATTTCATCCTTCAAATAGATAATTCTTTTAAACTTTGTTTTATACTTATTTGTCTTTTGAAAATTAAAACAAAGTAATTTAAAATTGGTAACTTGATAAGAAAATTTTGTCAACTAGTCAACACTTTTACAAATTTTAAACTTACAAACTCTTTACTTTAAAGAACAAAAATATATATTAAGTGATTAAATTCAAAAACAGAATTATATAAGTCCCATTAAATGATAAGAAATTCATTTCCGTTAAAATTATTGAATAGGAAAGTATGGTATGCTTTTACTTTTTAAACAAAATTCTCGAAACATAGTTGAATGAAGAAGATCGAAACCAAAAGTAATTTTTTAAAGTTTTCTGATTTCATGTAATATTTTATTTTAGAGCTTTAATTTTATTTTTTTTCAAATTGATCCTCTTTAATTTTATTTATTTATTTTTCTTAATTTCATCTAAACAAATAAATATCCTTGATTATACGTATAATTTTGTTTAAATGATAAATCCTTTTTAATTATTTATTTATATGTTTATATGTAAAATAAAATTATTAAATATTAATTCCTTATAGTTTAATTAATTAGACCGGTAGATCGAAAGCCTTAACAAGTGATCATGTTATGAAAATTGAAGTGCGATTGAGCTAATGGAAAGGAATTTGCATGGACCCCAGCAAAAGGAAAACACGTCAGCAAAAGCAACATCAAACTAAATTTGGGGGACTTCACTATCATATGTCCATAACTTAGGTTTGGTTGTTTATTTTTTTTAACGTCCCAAACACTCCATTGCCTTTTGGTTTGGCTAATTAAATTAAAATCTTCCAAACCGAAACTCAATATAGTTTCACGTCACAATTTGTCACACTCATGAACAACCACAAATCTTGAGTTTCCCATTTCACAATTCCCTTGGAATTTTAGTGTCACACACACATGAAACACCCCTCACTAGCAGTAAAAAGTGTTGCATGCAAAACTGCAAACAGTAGTAGAAACAGTGCAAAGTTAAAAACGATTCAAGTTCACCGAATGTGGCATTATTATTATTAGCTGGGTGGAATTCCTGGGGCTAAGATGAAGTCGTTTTATTTATGCTTGGAAGAAGGAAACAATAAAATAAAGAAAGAGGTAGATAGGTATCAAAATCATGCATGATTACATGAACAAAAGAGATGAGTAATGTGATTGGATATGTAAAAACGGTGGTGACCAAGTTGGCTCACAATCACATGGGTGCGTGCGCAATTAACGGACCCAAAGCCTGCACAGTGCACAGTACGCTCCCGTTTTCACAAACAGATGGTTGGAAGGAAACATGAAACATCCTCTCATCAATTGGCCACATTAGTACTATTTAGTATTTTATTTACCTTGTTTCTCTTTCTATCTGTCCTTGTCTTGTTGAGTTGGTCCTGTTAACTGTTATTGTCGCTTACACGCTTTTATTTGTGTGTGTCATATTAAGAGAGAGAATTGATCATAAGGGTAATGGTTAGTAGTCATTGTCTAGAGAAGCTGTGAAGAAGACATACAGAAAGTGGTGAATTTTTTTTTGTAGGGTCTTAAATTTAGAATAATTCTTAACTCAATGCTCAGAGTTAAGTCATAAAGTAAAGATTGTTATAGTTATACTTCAGTATATACTAGATCACTTTGTCTTTGTCAAGGGTAGTGACTCAATTTATTTTTCTATTCATTATAAGTTTTGATACCATCTTAGAATTAAGCTAAAACTTAATTTCAAAAGTTCACTTATGAAGTTAAAATTGTCTTAATTTTTATTTTAGTAGTATCATCAATGGCTGTGAAACTTAAACTCAGGGAAGAAAGTGTGACGCAAAAAATATAAGTATGCACTATGCATGGTAGTCCCCACCACCCTTCATCTGACAGCACTTAACAGTCTCACACTTGGGAGGCACCACTTCTTCTTTTTGTTTTCTACCATAAGGGGAAGCTCACTGCTCAACCCTGTGCACATAATGCAGTGTTGTTGTGTTGTGCCTCATTACTTCATTGTCCCACTGCCCCAAAATCTCTTCTCCACACTTTGGACCCAGCGCCCACATAATGCCACGTAAACTATTTAACCACTTGTGCCTCCCAATTTTACCTATTCAAACTTTTCTGCTGCTTCTGTTATCCTCTTAAAACCTTTCTTTCTTTTTTTGCTTAATTTTTTTCTTCCTTTCTTTTGCGTGCTAAGCTAAGTTTGGTAATTAGATGTTTCTGCCATCTACTCACCCAAGATGCCTATATTATATGTGGAATCATAGGAAATAATAATAATAATAACCCCACTTAAACAAAGCTACCAATTTAGAGTTAATA